AGAGCCAGGGATACAAAAAAAAAAAAAAAAAAAAAAAAAAAAAAAAAAAAAGTGGTCACCTATCCAGCTTGTGTCTGAGTATCTTCGACACTGGTGTACCCACACCAGTGTCAAAGAAGCCCAGTTAGTGCTATTTATTGGAGAGTGTCTTCTTATATTTATTTCAAGTCAGTCTCCCTATAGCTTTCTAGAGCCATTAAAAGCTAACGACACCGGGGCTTCCCTGGTGGCGCAGTGGTTGAGAGTCCGCCTGCCGATGCAGGGGACACGGGTTCGTGCCCCGGTCTGGGAGGATCCCGCGTGCCGCGGAGTGGCTGGGCCCATGAGCCATGGCCGGGACCTGCGCGTCTGGAGCCTGTAAAAAGCTAACCACACCTACCAGAGGTCAAAAGACAGGAATTAGATTAATAATTTATGACAGGAATTCACAACCCCTTTTAGTTGTATGTGTGTGGGCGGTGCTCACAGGGTCCACTGATAAGCCTAAATGTTATTGGTAAGGGAAAAAAGGGAATAATGTGAAAAGTTGAAGAGAAACCAGTATCTAGTCTATGCATTGGCAAATATTACCTGCTATCAGTCTAAGCACTAAGTTTGGCTAATTCTGAAATACTTTTATTAATTTTCTTTCAACAAGTTGATGAAAAAAAGAGTTTTCTGTGGAACTATGGTGCTAGAAACAATTTTAGTAACCCTCAACCAGTGCAGGAGTGAAGGAAGAAACAATCAAATCAGACTGTCCTGTTTCTAAAGATTAAGAGTGGATATAAAACAGAAGATATGTAGTTCATAGACATTTTACATCTGCCATAGCTAAGAGAACAAGGCTGAGGGAAAGGAAAATTAATTTTGTCATTTTTGTAAAAGGCTGCAGTTTACTGTAGCAATACTATCTTTGCACCTCTGCCCTCCTAGACTTGTTTAAAGGCTTTTGCGATATCTCAAGTTGAACTCAATTCTTTCCCATCTGACTCTCTTACTTCCCAGGCTTTGCTTTCACCTATGTTGAGACCTAAAGTGCACTCAACATAAGTACCCAGAGAGAAGCTGATCCAACCTTACTGTTTAGTTTTCATTCCTAGAGCTTGGAAAGAAAACTGACTCTGTCCCAACCATTCATGTAACACCCTGGAGAACTCATTTCCAGTAACACATGGATTATAGCACTGGCAGGCAAGATGGAAATAAAGTAGATGAAACTGATGAAAAACACGACACCCGTACACAAATGGGTGAGTGTGGATTTAACTATGCTCATTTCAGCTATCTCTTTCCTCAGAGAAGTTAAGCTTCCAATTATAAAGGAAGACAAAAAGGAGATAAACTACTCACATTCAGACAGTGGTTTGAGGATAGTCTGGCTTTTGACATCCGACTCTACAATTTCAATAGCTCTCCTGTAAAAAAAATATTTCTAAAATTAATTTAGGCTGAGCCAAACCAAACACCACACCAAACCACCAAGCTCAAAAACAGGCACATTAACAAAAAGCAACATGTTTTATAATTTTAAAGCCCCCAGACAAAACTGGGTTATGTCTCAGCTCCAGGGGACTTAATTGCCTTGAAATAATTCATGGACCAGGGAATCTGAGAAACTTCAACACTACATGGTTTCCTATTACAGAGGCCAAGTAAGTCATCGTACACTGAGCCAATGATAACATTTTGAACAAGGAAAACCTGTCATGGATGGGAGAGAGGACACGTAGTGTGGGTGCTTGACTAAGAGAGCCAGTACCATCCATACGCACCAGACCTAAGAGGAGAGTCCTCAGTTATCTACACACAGGATATGTGTAGGCTAGAACCACACTGGCCTACTTGACTCTTGCTCATAGTTGCAGTCTCTACCCAAGTAGTTTGCTGACTAGGGGAAACTTTCAAATCCAGGATCACACCATCTAGCAATAGGAAGAGCTTACTCTCCCACTGCTCTCTCCAAAGTACTTTGCCCACAGGAAGCCATAAGCCAGACCTGGATCTTCTGCATCGCAGTAGGGGGAAGTTGGACCAGCGGGCCAACACAGCAAGTATCATTTTAATGGACCAAGTGTCCCTACTGGGAAGGAAGAAATTTCATCAGTCAGCACAGAGGCTTTCCCCAGCAGGAGGGGCCGGGGGATGGGAAGAGAGAGAGAGGTCTGGAGTACAACTGTGGGGGACCACCAACTGGAGGAAGGGGTGCTCACAAAAGCAAAGGAAGGGGAAAAAAAGTCTAAAGGCAAAGATGGTTCAGGTCCATAAATAAACCTGCTTGAGACCAGCTAATGGAAAAGTAAACTGGAGTCTTTTTTAATACAAATGTAATTAACCAATCTATAATCACCACAGGGAGTGCCAGCAACATCTCATTTGTTTCTCCCTCTGTAGGTAATGGACTGATAATGTTTCAGACATTAACACGGTGGAAATGCAGAGCTCCCCAGTGAGAAACAAGTCCTCCTTTCTGAGCGTAAAAAGTGGCAGAATGGAGCCTCTTAAACCACATTCACTTGAGTTACATGAGACAATTAACAGCATTTCTTTTTTTTTTAATAAAAGCAGCCAACAGTGCCATAACTCACCTGCAAACATCCAGAGCTTTGCGAACATCTCCCGAAACAGCAGAGACTTTGCGGGCACAGAACTGAATGGCAGCATTGTCCAGGACCTGATCTTTAGATGCCTTTGAACAAGACATAGAAGATGACAGTTTGAACTATAAGACTTCCCCTCTGCAATTTAGGTCCCAGACTTGATTGACCAACCTTTAGGGTCTAAGATGCCTTTTCTGCTTAGAAGTAAATGGGGATTTCATACATTTAAGCATTTTGTAGGAATGTGGTAGAGGTTCACAAAGGGAAAAAAAAGCACTTGAAACTTAAATTAGCAAAACTAAACTAAACTAAAATCTATTTGGTCATTTCCAATAGGGAAAGTGTTTTCATAGGTCCTATTTTATAAATTTATTTATTTATTTAGGGCTGTGTTGGGTCTTCGCTGCTGCTTGCGGGCTTTCTCTAGTTGCGGTGAGCGGGGGCTACTCTTCGTTGCGGTGGGCGGGCTTCTCACTGAGGTGGATTCTCTTGTTGTGGAGCACAGGCTCTAGGCACTCAGGCCTCAGGAGTTGCAGCACATGGGCTCAGTAGTTGTGGCTCGTGGGCTCTAGAGCGCAGGCTCAGTAGTTGTGGCGCTTGGGCTTAGCTGCTCCGCAGCATGTGGGATCTTCCCAGACCAGGGCTCGAACCCGTGTTCCCTGCATTGGCAGGCGGATTCTTAACCACTGCGCCACCAGGGAAGTCCCCATAGGTCCTATTTTAAAAGGCCATTAGAGAAGCATTTGGGTGACTCCTCTAACTATTTTTATTCCAACACTAAGGCATCTAAAATGGAGCCAAGAGTAGAAGTTCATATAAAAATGAATGGGCTATAGGAACTCCCTGTTTAGTAATGCAATCAAAGCAAAATATTTTTGAACCATCTTCACAGGTGATACAAGGAACACTCAGCTTGTAACAATGCTTGGCACTCACCTGATTAAGTCGATCCTGCAGGATAGTGGCTATCTGATTTTTGGTATAAGGTGGGAAGTTCAACAGCCGTGGCTTACATTTTTCTCTAGCTTGAAGCCTTGGCAGAATTCTGTCTGTGAGATCCAGGGTATTAGCAATACCTGAGGAGGAGATAAATGACACTAAGCATCATTGGTCAAAGCATCGTAAAAGGAAAACCAAACCCTCTGAAAGCTGAATAAGGGACTTCCCTGGTGGTCCAGTGGTTAAGACTCCACGCTCCCAATGCAGGGGGCCCGGGTTCGATTCCCTGGTCAGGGAACTAGATCCCGCACGCTGCAACTAAGACCCAGCGCAGCCAACTAAATAAATATTAAAAAAACAAAACAACACCCACCAAAAAACTGAATAAAATTTCCAGTTATAATCCAGCATTCCAACTGTTGCTTCGCACTTTCCCCCACCCCCCCACCCTCAATACCCATTAGATAAGATGTGTATAATCGTCGAAGAATGCTCTTTTCGAGTTAGGTTTAGAATTGTTCAATTATAAGCAGGATCAGATACTCCCAAAATCAATTGTCTCTGAAATGCAGCATTGTGTCATTTCTATCCAGAGTTAACAAAGTTGATCTGACTTAGATTAAGGTTCCTATTATCTTATAGTAACTTTCTTATTTTGGTAAGAAAGCAGAAAGCTGGTGTAAGATCAAATAATAGTTGATAAGGGAATTCCCTGGTGGTCCAGTGGTTAGGACTCGGCATTTTCACTGCTGGGGCCCAGGTTAAATCCCTGGTCTGGGAACTAAGATCCCGCAAGCTGCATGGCACAGCCAAAAAACAAAACAAAACAAAATATGTGATGAATAAACTGAAGAGATTAGAAAAAGGTCTTTAGAACCACCATGTAACATCAACAACAGAGCACTAACCAATCAGCACCAACCGAGAATTGCTTAGCCATGGCCATTCAAACAGTGTGTACAATACATCCTGCCCTCTGCTGTCCAGTTGATCCATCTCGTCCAACACCAACACACTACAAAAAAGGAGAAACAATTAGTATCCATGTTCACCTTAACTCTCCAATCTGATCTGGGCTGACACTAGGTCACATTCCTACAGCTAAGACCAGTCTGAAGGGCTTCCCTGGTGGCGCAGTGGTTGGGAGTCCGCCTGCCGACTCAGGGGACACGGGTTCGTGCCCCGGTCCGGGAAGATCCCACATGCCGCGGAGCGGCTGGGCCCGTGAGCCATGGCCGCTGAGCCTGCGCGTCTGGAGCCTGTGCTCCGCAATGGGAGAGGCCACAGCAGTGAGAGGCCTGCGTAACGCAAAAAAAAAAAAAAAAAAGACCAGTTTGAAGATCATAATCTGTCCCACCTCCAGTCACTGTTATGATGATACCCCCCTATCATCACCAGAAAGTAACATACAGGTTTTTCAAGTAATTAGTTTAAAAACATCTTCCCCCAATTTAAAATTAGAAGGTTTTTGTTTTTTCTTTTCTTCTTTCCCTTTAAGCTTATGTAACTACCCCTCAGAGAGAAAATATAGGAAATGTTCTTTTTATGAGCAAACTGATACATTCAAGAGACGAGAATGTGTGTTTGTGGGCAATGGATCCTGCAGATTTTCAGAGCAACATGCAGCAGAGCAATGCTTACATCATGGGGCCCTTCTCCGCAGTCATATGGTTTTCCAGTTTCCTCATTATGTCCTTCCCAGCTGGCCTGGATACTTCTTCCTGACAAATCTCCTGAGCAATGGCTGGGAATACAGCCTGGGCACTCCTCAAGGACATGCAATTCAGCATGATAGTTTTAAAGCTTTTCAGTTCCTTCTAGAAAAATGCAAACATGCGAGTTATTTTGGCCTCAGATAAAGGTTTGATGGAACCTGAAGTGTCTCTGAAGAGTTAACAGCATACAAGAGAATAAGGTACACTTTCATTTGGAAAGATTTAGACAGTGAAATTAAAAATGTCTTACTTTGGGGAAAACTGCAGTGCCCTAAGCACTTCTACTTTTTCTTAACCCTTGATAACCAAGTGTCATTTTGGCAAGAGCATCATAATTCAGACTCTCAATGTACCTTGAGGTCTTGCAGAATTCGGCTTAAGCAGGCAGTTTTTCCAGTTCCAGGAGCACCAGAAAGATAAAGACTTCCAGCTTTCTTCCCACAGATGTGCTCCCTCAGGAAATTCCTGATGACATCCATCTCCTTTTCCCTGGCAGGCAGCTGATCTGGGACAGCTGTAGTCAGGACCTGCTTTGCTTGCTGGTAGCAAGTCCCTGTGCCAGACATGAAAGGACAATTAGACACAACAGAGGTGACTGAGAAGACCCACCAGGTTTCACTTGGAATCACCAGCCATGTTTACGAGGCTGCACTAACAGCTGCCGTGTAAGAACCAACCTTCTTGCTTGAGAAGTCTCAGACATGCAGATTCTTTCTCCAGTGGACATCTCTGCTCAGAATTTGTTGCGATGTCTTGACCTTTTGGAACTGAGGAACATATTTTGTTTTGGGGAACTCTGGCTTGTTCTCTTTTGCTAGGAGACTCCATTGTCAGCTGATTGTCAAATACCAATCTGCGCCCCTTAGATGTACGTGAGCGAGGGGGACCATTTTCTTTCTTGCTTTGCTTTGGTGGAGAACAGGGAGGTAAACGGGGAGTGTTACACAGGTTGTCGTCACCTGAAACATTAAAATCAAAATGTGGTCATTCATAGCAGTGGATTGTAAAAGGACTTGGAAAGATCTCTGCATCCCCCCCAAAAAGGGGGATGAATTTCTATCATGGTCAGAACCACCAAAATAAAATGCCTCTCATCCAGAAGCAAATAGTGGCCACCAGATGGCACCACTGAGTCTTACTATTTGGTAGAGGTTTTAATGGGATGAAATTCTAGGATTGCTCTAAAACAGGGTTTCCCAAACTTGGCACCATTGATATCTTGGACCAAGTAATTTTTCATTGTGGGGGACTGTCCTGTGCACTGTAGAATATTGAGCAGCATTCCCAGCCTTTATTCACTATGTCAGTATCACCCCCTCAGTTATGACAACTAAAAATGTCTCCAGATCCTACCAAATCATCCCTCATTAAAAACAGATGATCTAAAACAAGAAAGGAAAAAACAAACAAAAAATAATTTTAAAAAAAAAGGAAAGAAAAAGAAAGGATTACCAACCACTGCTCTAAAACAAGAATTGTCACCTGTTTTTCTTAATTTCACAACTAACGAGGCAAGTTTCAAAATACTATATAACTAACTGCAAGGTCGTTTAAAACACTGACAGAACCAAGTTCAGTACTAAGGAACTGAAGATCAGACCTATTAAGTAGTTCAGAAAGTGATCTCAATAAGTAGCTTAACTCTGAAGTTCAGTAAGCACTTAGCAACCATTCTGAAAATAACCAAAGGGAACAGAGTGGTCTTAACTGAACTCAGAAAGCTGTTTCAAAGGCATCTTGTTATTGAGAAAGAGAGGTCGAGAGCTACCAGTCAAAAAGTTGTACTCAAATAATGGATAGCTTACCCAGACGTTTTCTGGGGCTAAGAGGCAGAATTTTTGCACAAGGAGAACGGGGTATGGCCTGGACATTTGTCAGTTCTAGTTTGTTGTCACTGGAGGTTTTAGCTTTGTCCAATGTCCGAGGCTGTTTCTTTTTTGGAAAACTGATTGTAGCCTGTGACTGGGAGCGGGTTTGAGGCATGACGGCAACACAGCTGTGTACAAAAAAGAGAACAGGACAGCCAGTCAATGCGTAAAAGTGAAGAAAAAACAACTAACATGTAACTTATACCGAAGATCGAAATTCATTTCATAAGTAGATTATGTTGTAACAATATTTTAGCATTTAATTCTGCTTCATATCCGAATCTATGCAACAATAGCGAACACCACCTACTACGAGTAAAAGGCTGTCATAAACATTTTAGGTGTTAACTCCTTTAAGTTTTACAACCACCTTAGAGGTAGGTACTATTATCCTTATCTTAATGATAAAAAAAAACAGAGGCAGAGAGGCCCAACGTCACAGCAAAGCAGGATATAAGACCAGACATTCTGGCTCCAGAGCCCCAATTTTTAACCACTCGAGACGTACAATAACAAGTTGACCTTAATTGGCGTCCATAGTACTTATACTCCCCTAGCTCCAGGCACGGGGTACAGCTTAGCCCAGCAGCCTCCCACATTTACAGGCTTCCTCAAGCCCTCACTCCGCACTCAATCCCCGCTCTACCCAACTCTCGGCCCCACATAGCCCCAGATGTTCGGGGAACGTCTCCCTCCTGCCGCACTCAACACAACTGCCAGAGCACTCCGAGGGCGCACGTCTCCCTTCCCTGCCCTGACCTTCTCACCCTCCCGCGATCTGAGCTCTCCTCCTCTTACGGAACCCGCGGTCCTCGCCCTGGTCCCTCACCCAACTCCGCCGCCCCCCCCAGAACTCGGGCCTCCTCTCCTTTCCACCTCACAGTGCTGCGTCACCTCAGCGCCGGCGCCTTCTCACGTCTTCTTTTAGAAAACTAAAGGGACTGTCCACCACAGGACCCTGGACAAACACCTCACCGTCAGCCGGAAAGCCCAGACGCGCTCGCGCCAAATCTGCACAGCCGCAGCTTTCCCGCCTCCCGCCAAAGCCCGGCCACGTTTCTGATTGGGTGTGGCCAGAGCGCCGCACGCCTTGGCCCCAGCCCCCTCCTTCACAACCAATCAAGCGGGAAGGCGCACAACCAATAAGAGAGCCTCAGGTCTCAGCGCCACCGTGAGGCCACGCCCACCGAGCCGTAGGGGCAGTCTACATCCGGGGCCTCGGCGGAAAGATGCGCGCTTGCGCCGGGGCCGACTGAGTGAGGCCCGGCGGGAGCTGTAGTCTCTGCCGCTCGCGACTGCATTCCCACGCCCTTCCTTCAATACCTTCTCACTGCTGCACATACCCATTTTTTCCTTACCCTAATGGGCTATATTTTCAGAGAGCTACTACATAATACCTGCCATTATTTGGGCGGTTCTGGGTGCGAGGTATGATGCTAGGCACTTTACATATCTAATGCCCAACACTGCAAGACACAAAGCAAATGTGCCGAGGGTTAGTTAGAGGTCACAGAATTTCGGTGGCCTCGAAGGGCCTAGGACCATTTCCTGACACCAAAAGCAATGTTTCTTTGTAAAGTTATACATACATACATAAATACACTGCACTTCATCACAGTATCTCCCTGATTTGTGTTTCAAGGGTGAGAAAAAGGGCCAGGCCTTTGCTTTTATTTTGTTAAAGGTAAGAATACGATATTCTGTGCACCTTCCTATCATTAATCCCATTAATCCACACAATGTGGGGAGTGGAGAGAATTACGGCCCCTTAATTTTAAAACATATATATTTTTTATGGCTAAATACAAGGGTTTCAGGGCCAGAGAAGACCACTACAGATGGAGTGGCAATCTGAACTTTTAATGAAAAATATAAATTAAAGCAGTAATTTACAGGCCAGCTTCCAATGCTAATAACCCAGGTTCCACTAAAAACCCAAACCCAATTCTAGGTGATGGTAAGCATGTCATCCTTCAATATCAAATGAAATAGAGCAAGCCGAGAAATAGGGAAACAATATTACAATCAACTTAATTGTAGTTCATTCATTTAGGAGATAAAAACCAATATTGAGTGCTTGTGTGTACCAGGCGCTGAGCTCTGGTATTTTACCTATATCACCTTACTAATTCTCACAGGCACCCCCATGAAGTTGGAATTATTTCCATTTCACAAATGAGAAGACTGAAATAGAGAGGTTGAGTAAATCTGCCCAAGGTCACACAACTAGTAAGTGGAAGAAATGGAATTCAAACTCAGGGAGTCTAACAGGAGATCAAACTCCTGACCATTTAAACATACCGAGGGGGAATAGACAGATGCAGGTTTCAGAGGGAGAGATGGTGACGGAGCACATCTGGGGAAGGCTTTCTAGGAGCTGAAAACTACAAGAGTGAAGAGCGTAGGCTGCCACGAATGGAGAAAGCGTTACCACAGAATGGAGACTTTTTTACCAGCTGGTATTTCTGATCTCTTAACAGGGGAAAAGAACCTAGAAAGAAGCAACTTTCACTGTTCACATTTATTTTTATAACCTGGGCACCTAAAACTTGTCCTTCACAACCAGAAATGGTAGTAACAAGTGCCCAGCCAGCTTTTAAGGGATGGTGGTGAACAACCACCTCAGTTACAGTGGGACAGAGGGGGCAGAGGAAGCCATGAGTACTTAACGTGCATATTGGAGCCTATGAAAGCATTCACCAGGAAATATAGCACCGGTCCAAGAAAAGCCTACAAGAATAAGTGACTATTGTGGAAGCAGGCAGAGAATCACAGAACGTCCAGATTGAAAGTTCTCTAAAAGGTTACCTAGTTGAAGTTTTCTCTTTTCACTACTCCAGTAACATGATGAGCATATAACCAGCATACTGCTTCTCGCCTCTGTGCCTTGTCCTTGCTGTTTCCTATGTCCTCCTGCCCTGGCTAATTACCATAAAGCCTTTAATGCCCCGCATAGGTTTCCCTTGGTGGCTGTCCTGAAGTCTTCTGCTAGACTCTGAGCTCCTTGGAGGCAAAGACCATGTCCTATTCGTTTTCATATTGTCGGTGCCTGGCACAGAGTAAAATACGCAATCGACGCTCGCTCAATGAATGGCAAGGACATTCCTGCCAAGTGGATATCCATCTTTTGCTTGAACATTTTTCTGTGGTCAGACAGCATACAGTCCTTTAAATCTCACACCCCTAAACCTAGGAGTGGAGAATGAATTCAATTATGTGTAAAAACAATCCAGACTGGGCTCCAGTGATGTCAAAGACAAAGCATTTCCCCATAGTTATCCTCTGGGGTGGTTAGGATCCTGAGGTTGCCATTTTAGTTCTCTTACCTCTGTCTGCAGAGTAATAGGAAGTCAGAGACAGGTAGCTTCCTTGCAGTAAGTTGCAGTTAGTGGCTGGGCTGGGCCAGAAAATACTTAAAGAGGCACATTCACCATAAGCGGCTATGTCTTGGTAATAATTAAAGTGGGCAAACTAGTGTCCTTATCACTTGCTAATCCATACACGGTGTCATGGGGAAGGGACCAAATGACACAGGAAGAACCTGTCCGGCATCCTTACGTGTGTCTGTGCGCGTGCGCGTGTGCACTGGCGGGCACGTGTACACGTACACAGACTAGCAATACCATCCCAATAGGACAGAGAAAGCTTACAGGGTTAGGAAGTTGAGGGTCATCTAGGCAAACTCTATTTGAGGGCTATTCAAAGTCACAGGAGGAACAATTAAATCAATAAATAGGTAGTTTATTAATCATGTCAATAACAATGATGGGTCAAAGAATCAGGAATTCAGCCAACCTGGCAAATATGGATGAAAATGAAAGGAGGCCCTTTTCTCCCCTCGCTCCCGCACCCTCATAGGTTTTTATATCAAACTGTGTGAGAGTGACTCATACACACACCTATTATGAACCAGTACGGGAAATAATTTCAAGACCTTTGCTAGTGATGAAAGTGTAGGTTAAGCTCATTAAATCTTAGTGGTGATTACATCAGCTGACCACAGTAAGCAGAGAATGTCTGGTTCAATTCTGACACCTATAGTCAAAGTTCAAGAAAGCCAGCTAAGATTTCAACTTAAGCAGTGAAGAAAAAAAGGCAACACCCACATAAAAACAGACACAGTCTGTGTGTTCTGCCCTCACCTTTTCTTCACACTTCAGTGTGAGAATCTACCACACACACAGGTGGAAAGAAGCATTAGGGATATAAGGAAAGGACACAAGGCCAGGGGGGTCTCCTGAGTTCCCTGGAATCATGGGCAAAGGGGAGTTAGGTGGCAAATATAAATAATGGCCAACTCTATCAGAATCACCCAGTCAGCCTGGCTAACTGGAACTGTGATTTTCAAAACACAGCAGGAGCGGAGGAGAGAAAACTCTGAGGAAGCTGCAGATGCTTCTGCCCAAGTTAGTATTTCTACTTTCTCAGAGGATCTGGAGTCAAACCAGTACCCTAACCGGAGGCAACAGATTTTCTCTCCTCTATGCCACCACTTGTGGTGGTATTCCAGACAAGACTACACAGTTTTCAGGTTTTTTGCTTTTGTTTTTAAGCAAGGTTTAATTAAACTGCACGGCATCCAGAAGAAAGAAATGTACCAAAGAATCCAACCTGAGACCAGATTATACACTGTAGAAGGGGGTAAAGAAATCAATGCTAATTGGGAGAGGGAGCCCCGTAATCAGAAACAACCCCAAAATAAATCATACAATAAATTAGTTTTTAGAAGAAAAGAAACCAATCCACATGCAGACAAAGATGGACACACACATACATACATACACTCTTCACGCACGACACTCTAGTCTTTTATTCAGTGTTGACAATGGCTCCCATGCTGGTCGCCGTGGAAAAGGACAAGGGTTGGACGTGAGAAGAGAAGGCTCGGCCCCTCTGCCACCAGTGGAATGAGATCTAAGACCATTAGAGAGGGAACCCACTAAGTTGTCAGACAAGAGTAGAAAGAAGGAAACAGCAGTTATCAAGGAAGATTTTAATTGCTTCAAAGAGGGAGAGAGGAAGAAAGCACAGAAATCTAACACAAGTAAAGGCACAATGAATGTGGAGTTGAATGGAACCAAACCCTTCCTTTGGTTAAAATTATCCTTTTTTTTTCTGTATGTGTTTTGAAGGTGGTTGTAGTTTTGCTTCATTTTGCTTTTAAGAGACGAGTCTCGAAGGCAGAGTTGTAATGCCTCCCATTCCCTAAATTACGGTGGCTCACAGAAAGCCACCTTGACCACATACAGCCAGGGACTGAGATTCAACAGGGAAAGAAAGACTACAACTGGAATGTGAGGAATCTGATTTGCAACTGATTGTACGTTGGGTTTCCAGAAGAACAAGACAGCTCAGTGTAGTGCCATCAAAGGGCCTCAGATGCCCTCTACTCCACCCCCAGAGCTTTGCAGAAGGGAAGGACTCTGGAGTCACACTTCACCCCCACTCCCATAAGCACTCAGCCTACAGATTATTTCAAGTGATCAGGAGAATTAAAACACACCCCAACCCTGAGTTGCTCTGTAGCAAGTCTATTTACAATTTTATCTCACCTCTCCCTGGAGGTAAATTTAGGTTTCAAGAGGGGAAGCTATGGGGTGAGGGGATGCCCCCAGGGCAATGGTCAGTGGCTAGTCTCCTTGCCTTTGCCAGTTCGGAGGGCTGGGATGAATTTCTGGAGACAGGAGCCTCATGTCCGTTGGGTGGGATAGCCCCTAAGTGCTCTCACTCTGCGGGCCCAGCTGGGAAAACGCTGGGCCTCTGCAGCTGGAGGAAACCCCCACGATAGAGCAAACCACACCTGGAGCACCACAATGCTACGATCCAGGTCTGGGGACCAGAGGAGAGGGGGAGAGGGGCATCTAGCTCATTTAAAAACCTGCAGACCACTGGCCTGCTTCCCAGAAAGGGCAGTAAGAAACGACTATGAAGTTTTTCCCACCTGAGAAAAACATCATAAAACCAAACCCGCACAAGGGCTTTTAACACAGCTTCTTGATGCCTAGTTGGGCAATGTCTCTTCCTTCTGGGAAGGGATAAGGGGGTTAATGGGACTGGGCAACAGCCTCAACATGAGACCACCCAATCTTCCACTGAAGAGATGACATTCCCACAAGCAGATAAAAAGAGCAGTTTAAAAGGTGAGAAGTTTTAGTGCTCTTGTAGCCAGCCCACCTCAAACCTATATTACAAGCTTTTTACAGCATACAAAATAGATCAATAACTATGAGGCTCACATTCCCATTCATCAACAGTAAATATACATGATAATAAATCTGTTATTAACACAGGGACCAAATAAGGTATAAGGCAAAGACATTTAAATGGGTACTGTGTCATCAACATGCTCTGAAGAAGAAAATCCATCTGACTAGATCTAGTCCCAGGCCTTTTTCCATGAGGCCAAGAAAATGAAAATACAGTCAATACCCACGTGACACAGTCCAAATGCTGGGGAATATGAGGGGCAGCAGGTCATACGGGAGGAAGACAGGAGCCCCAGTGAAAAGCTGGGGTTTGGCTTTTATGTGTGATGCTCATTTCGATGCTCTATGTTTGAGGAGTGAGGGGAAAAGAGATACGCTTTGATAACATTGTACAAAAGGCATCAACTCCCATTTCAAAAATAAATGGGAAGACTTCACAGTCCAAGTTCAGTAACTGGGGCCAGCATCTACCCCGGAACTCTGCTGCAGTATCAAGTCTTGTACTTTCTCCTTTTCCCTCCACTAGCATCCTCTCTCTAAGCTCCACTGGCTTCAGGATGCTGGGGGGATACTGCTGGGAGGTAACTGCTAACAGATTTGAAAATAAGAATGATAAATAAAGAATGATTAGAAAAAGCGTGGTGACAGACCTAATCATGGTTTGCCCCAACAGTCAATACGGTCCAGGGGATGGCAAAGGATCGCAGACCCCAGATAAATAACCCAAGTTGAGAGCTCTCTCATCTAGCACTGGGAAGGCTTGGGTTTCACTGGGCACCATGTACAGATCCTTCGTCTGTGATCCAACAGATAGGAAAGGTCCCTAGGGCAGTTTAAGCCTGTGATGTATCTGATGAAAGCTCCTTTGCTCTCACTTCAAGCTTTGAGCAGCCTCTGCACTTGACAAGAGCTTTAGCAAACCAAACCAGCTGGATGTGGAGCCCAGGAGCTCCATCATGCTGTTGGAGAGGGGGAAGTCCCTGTACCACGATCCAAGCTCAGTTCCTACCTAGACTGGGAACCTCCATTTTCTCTGTGCTCTTTAACTAGGACCTGGAAGACGAAACAACATATTGCTGGCTGCCAGGGAAGATCAACTGGACTGAGGCACACCGCACCAAAGTCCTTGTGCTTTTGGCAGAGGAACCTTTGACTACCCCCATAAGCCTCCTCACCCTTCTCTACTCTGCTGTGCTAACCCCTGCAGTCTTGGGGTTGAGTGGTGCAGAAGGGAACAAGAAGAGTCTGCTCACTCAGTTCTGCTCGAACTGAGGCTCGAGTGGGCCTCAGTTAAAGCCATTCACAGCCCGCAGAGCTGGTCCCTTCCACAAGGTGCTTCACCCTTCCCTTCTTCGTCATCCTGGAGCACCCATCAGGGGCTGAAGTTTCTGAACAGGGCTGAAAGGGCCAGTGGCCTTCAGGGCCAAGCAGAGAAGACTGAGGCAGCCTTAAGGTCAAGGTTAAGGCCAAGGCCAAGGTCCTATCTTCCTATCTCTCACTAGAGGTTTTGGGGGTTTCTGAATCCATAATGAATGAATGAAAGGGACTTTTCTCTTGAGGGGATAGGTGGTGAGAGGAGGAAAAACATCCCTCAGCCTCAGCACCTGAAGAAATGGAGCAGGGAGCCCCAGGGGGCTCACATGGCTCCTGGTCCCTGTGACGCAGAGGAACTGACTAGCTCTAAAAGGACCCCCAGTTTACTTCACCCTCTCTTTTTATTAGATGTTTAGTTCAACTGATTAGTATTTAGTGTTTATATCCAACCTATTTCTGGGTATGAGCATGGGGTGGGGTGAGGGCAAAACCAAAATACCCCTAAAAATAAAGCAGACCTATTTCCTTGCCCATGCTCTAAACTTGACCTTTAAAACAGATCACTTCTCTGCAAACTCCTTTCCCATTTCACTAAAAATGCCCACCCCCAGAAGTCCTGGCCATGCCAGCCTCCTAAAATGATGAAATATAATATATCCACCAAGCTCCCCCCACAATGGGTAGGAGAAGGTAGGAGTACCATTCTCCACCCCGCCCCGACAATGAGTTCATTCATCACAACAAGGCACCTTTCCCCAGAGGAAAGCAGGAGACATGGAATCTTCTTCCTCATCTGGCCAGGAGGGCTGGCAAGAGGAGGGATGGATGCAGGGTTTGAGACCCTACTGTCAATATAAAGAGTCCGGTCACCAAGTCCAGAGACGCGATGCACAGATGGAGGTGAGCTGGGTGGGCGCTTGGAGTCTCGAGGTTGGTGCACTGGAGAAACACATTAGGAGCTGTCATGCAGGTTTCGGGGAGAATGGAAGGGACCATCTGAGAAGAGGAGAGGGTCCATCCTTTTCCTGAGGAACAGGACCAAGCCAGGCTTCACCTGAGAATGGGTGGCAGAGGTGGGGCTCCACGGGCAGCTGAAAAAAATAAATAAAAACCACATATGCAAGGTCACCCATCAGACCCTGAATAACCCAAACATTCCTAAAATGAGAGACAGGCTCTTTAAGCTAACCTTTAAAATCTGGGACAAGGCTTCGTTGTCTGTTTAAGAAAATGCAGACAAGGAGAAGCAAATTTTAAGCTAAGAAAAGCACACACCGATTCTACAGCCTATGCAATTATGGAAGACCTTCCATGATTCTCTTCTCTCACCTCGGTTTGTTTTGCTGGGATATATTCTCTGAAAGTGTTTATATTCTTCTGGAGGAGGAAAGTCTTCCATTGGATGGAAAGAATACTTTGACTCAAAATCATCTGCAAAAGGAACAATATTAATTCATATCACCCTTCCTCGTGCTCCCACACACCTCTCTGCCACTTCTGACCCTCCCCATACTAGTCTCCCGGGCTTCCTGACGTACCATGAGGGCCTGCCTTGCCCACTAAAGCAAGGTTCGTGAGGGCAGCAACAGCATTACTCTCTGCACCTCGTACGCACAGAGTGTGTTCAAAGGCTCTTTACGTTAAGGAATGAGTCTTTGAAATGGTTCTTTAAATCATTCCACCCCAAACCAGGCACATACCAGGAAAGGAGCCCAGCTGTTTGCATGGCAGGAGAAGGAAATATAGTTCTGTGTTTCGGTAACATAGTCATGTTAGAGACTATCACCATGGGAAACCAACTGAACTGAATCCACAAACTGGCAGAAATTAATCTAAAATGGGACTATATGCCACCAGCTGGGGAACGATCTGACCAGAAAATTCCCTTTTGGCCCAGGCTCCCCTCATCGAGCCCTGCAACACAGTCGGGATGGCCATGTCATGGCTCCCACTCCCACTTTCCATGGCCCCTCTACAAGAAGGCTCAAATGTTCTATGGGTGTGGCTCGATCACATTCCAGAAGGCATATCCTCCAAGCAAAAATACTGGTCCACTTAACAGGAACAGACTAGAGCAGGGCCAGAGAAGAGTCAACCATTAAAGAATCTACAGTGTTCAGGCTACAAGGGACTGTGCAGATCCTTCCAGACTTCCTCAACAGAGGGTCTAACAATACCTGCTGGACAACCTTTACTTGGTGCTCCATCCCAGACCTAACAGAATCTCTTAGGTGGGGTCTAAGATTCATTTATAACCTTAGAAAAGTTAATCCGATACCCTCTTGAGCTAGTCAGTCTCCTTGTTTCATAGACAAGGGAAGTGAGGTCCAAAAACATGAAGTGACTTCTTCAAAGTAACACAACTAGTCAGTGGCTCTGGATTACTAGATAAAAGTTGTGTACACAGTGTTGTTTTGTTTTCAAAGGTCCAGAAAGGAGCTCTTCTTCCTAGGAGGATAAGTAATTCCTGTCTCAATAATCCTGAAGAGGATACAGTCTCTGACCTAAAAGCTAACCACAAATAATGAGCCTTGGGGAGCAAGAGATTGGCTTTAGAGTTAGCACAACACCTGCTGATCTTACTTCCATCTATTCCAAAGGAATCGTGCCTAGAATTTGCCTAAGGAAAGGGATGTCCATGGATGGACCCAGAAGTCTGAGGGAAGGTCAGGAGAGGAACTGCAGTGAACAGAGGACACCAAGCGACCACTCCCACTCTGCAGCGGCCACTGGAATTAGTGAAGTCACCACAGGAACTATGAGACTAAAACAGCCAGCTACTCACCCAAGAAAGATCGGACAGTGGTAATAGAATCTCTGTGGCCATTCCTCAGGGGTGGTGGAGGCGGCGGAGGGGGCCCAGCTGGCGTCCTTGAGGGCGGAGGTGGGGGCCTTCCTCGGCTCAGGGGTTCTGACCCATGCATTCGGTACGGTGGCGGGGGAGGGGGGGCATCCCTGGCACCATTTCGGATCATGGGTGGCGGGGGTGGAGGAGCTGCAATTAAAGTTCAAAGCAGTTAGGTTTGGATGTAGAGACGGTGATGGACGAAGGGATTTGAGAGACATGGGCCAAAAGAGTGCTCGGTGCTTTCCCAAAGAACCAGACCCTGTGAACCACTGGGCAGCATGTTAAATATCATATTCACCCTCCCCTCATCCCTATTTCTTTAACAACATCACCATTCTTCTCGATACCAAAGTTCAGAATAAATTTATGACCCTTTTTCATTTCCCATGACAAGTCAGTCAAGAATTCCACTTATCCTCGATAATTTTTTTCTCTGCTTTCGCATGCCTTCCTCCACAATTCTAAGTCAGGGCTTTCTCATTTTTATCTTGTTCTACTGAGAAAAGCCTCTCAAATTTTTTCCTTGCTTCTAATCTCTTAGCCTTTCAATCCACTCTGCATACCACCAACTCACTAATCTCCCCAAAATACTAGCTCAAACTTTTCCAAGGGCTTTGCATTTCCCATATCATAAAGTTTCAAATCCTTAGCTTCCACACTGACTGGGTCTCACCCAATCATTTTCCTTTCTTACACAGTAACCTACCACATCAGTCAGCCTGATTGCACCTTCTTTTCTTCCTTGATTCCTACGCTGGATTAGGTACCACTCTTCTGTACTGCTCTGTCGACTCTTCTCTACCACCACTACTATTTTTTTTTTTTTTTTTTTTTCGGTACGCGGGCCTGCT